ACTATTAATGGAGACATTATTGGAGAAAGCTAGCCTGTATAAGGACGGATATAAACTTGACAGACTATTAGAACCAGTCCATTTGTCCTCCCAAAATCTGATGTTCTTTCCTGAACCAAGAGACCAAGATATGAGATTTTGAAAAACTTCCTTATTGGAGATGATATCGTTCCAAAAAGAAGAATTGCAGGCATTGCTATTGGCTAATTGCAAGAAGGAAGCTTTTCTGATATAGAGTTGATGAAGGAGAGCTCCAATAAAAGATTCTCTATCATAGCATTTCCATAACCATTTGGACAGTAGAGATAGATTGAAAATTTTGAGATTCTTCACTCCCAAACCTCCTTCTGATTTGCTTAGACAAACCTTTTTCCAATTAACCAAACATTTAAAAGGTTTAGAAACACTTTTTCCTGTCCAGAGGAAATTCTTTCTAATTTTGTCAATGTCTTTGATCAACCATACTGGTAGTTTATAGAAAGACATAAAATATAACGGAATGGAAGAAAGAACCGAATTCAATAATACTAATTTTCCTCCCAGAGATAAGCAGTTACTCTTCCAAGAAGCAAGCTTACGGTGCAAATTATCTAACAAAGGTTGCCAATCTGATTTAGATAATTTGCCTCCTTTCAAAGGCAAGCCTAATTATCTAACAAAGGTTGCCAATCTGATTTAGATAATTTGCCTCCTTTCAAAGGCAAGCCTAAGTATTTGATGGGGAGTTTGTCTAATTTAATCTGATTTAGATAATTTGCCTCCTTTCAAAGGCAAGCCTAAGTATTTGATGGGGAGTTTGTCTAATTTACAGTTTAGAGCTGTAGCTAGAGAGTCTCCTCTGTTTTGAATATTCCCAAAATAAATCAAAGATGATTTTATAAAATTAATACCCAGTCCAGAGATATCTTCGAAGATATATAAGATAGTCTTGAGAACAGATACGTCTTTGATAGAACTCTTTACAAAAATAAGAGTGCCATCTGCAAATTGTAAGCTTCTTATAAGATTTAGAGGTTCCTTAATGTGCAGACTAGATAAGGATCCTTCCATCTGCAAATTGTAAGCTTCTTATAAGATTTAGAGGTTCCTTAATGTGCAGACTAGATAAGGATCCTTCTTCCACATTGCACATAATCATTTTACTCAAAACATCAACTGATATGTTAAACAACATAGGAGATAAGGGATCTCCTTGTTTAAGACATCTTTTGCATTTAAAGAAATTGGATGGAGAACCATTGACAAGAACTGCACAATTTGAAGAAGAGATGATATGCTAAATCCAAGAACACCATTTATCTCCAAACCCTCTAGCTTTTAGCAAATTTATAAGAAAACTCCAACTGATGGAGTCAAAAGCTTTAGCAAAGTCAATCTTAAGCATGGCCACTTCCTTTTTCTTCTTGGAACAAAAATGTATCATTTCATTAGCAACTAGAATTGAGTCAAGAGTGGATTTTCCTGTTTGAAAAGCAGACTGAGTAGGGGAGACAAGGTCCTTCAAAAAAGGTGATAATCTCATGGCTAAGATCTTTGTAAAGATTTTCAAGATACAGTTTATCAAACTGATTGGTCTAAAATCTTTAACAGTAGGGCAGATCTTTGATTTTGGGATTAGAGTTATGAGAACTTTATTCACTCTTTGAAGGGATGATGGATTCTGTCCAAAAAAAATTAATAAGGGCAACAAGATCATATTTGATAATGTCCCAGAAATATTGGTAGAAAAGAACAGAATAACCATCTGGACCAGGTGCTTTGTTTGGATTCATGCTGAAAACAGCTTGTTTAACTTCTGATTCTGAAAAAGAAGATTCAAGAGATAAAAGATTTGGACTTGCCTCAGGATATAAAATAGACCAATTGATAGACATGTTACTTTCATGTTCCTGACCAAAGAGTTGGAGATAGTAATCATGAAAAGCCTTTGATATAGATTCCTTACCTGAAATTTCTGAGCCCAAATGATGAATAGATACTATATGATTAGCTCTTTTATGAAGAGAAGCAATCTTATGAAAAAAAGATGTATTAGCATCTCCCTCTTTTAGCCATTGTATACGTGATCGTTGTGACCAGTATGATTCTTCCTCTTGAATGATAGAAATCTCCCTCTTTTAGCCATTGTATACGTGATCGTTGTGACCAGTATGATTCTTCCTCTTGAATGATAGAAAGGAAAAGAGATTGATAAGATTTCCTATCATCGTTGTGACCAGTATGATTCTTCCTCTTGAATGATAGAAAGGAAAAGAGATTGATAAGATTTCCTATCCTTTAACTCTGATGGTGTTAAGGATCTCTGTTCTTCAATTAAATCCAGGGAGTTTATTTGAGATAGCAAGAATGATTTTCTAGAAAATAAAGATCCATATACATTTTTTCTCCACTACTTAATTCTCCTCTTTAATAGGTGCAGCTTCTTAATGAAGATATCAGCAGGATTTCCCTCACATTTAAAAGATTTCCAAGAGTCTTGAATGAAAGGAACAAAAGTCTGATTATGAAACCAGCTCTTTTCAAATCTAAATAAAGGTGGATTAGGCTTAATTCCACCAGTATCTAGAATTAAAGGGCAGTGATCTGAGCCTACAAAAGGAGGAGAGTATTGAAGACTTAGTGGATGTACCCTATCCTATTCTACACATATTAGAAATCTATCCAATCTAGCCATAGCAGGAATTTGATGTTTGTTGGTCCAAGTGAAAGAACGACCAGACAAAGGAAGATCAATAAGAGCTGTGGAAGAGACAAAATTCCTGAAGGAGATGATATCTCTCAAAGATCCCATTCTGCCATTTCTTTCTTCTGAATATAATGTAGCATTAAAATCACCACAAATTACCCATGGTCCTGTAAAAGTCTGACGCAAACGAGAAAGTTCCCACCAACATACATCCTTATCATCTCTATCAATAGGAGCATATACAGATGTGATAGTAAAATACCAAGCTGAAGATGAATGAGTCAAGGATACTGATGCTGAGAAAATACCAACGTATGAATGAATGAGGTTGAAAGAATTTGACCATCCAATCATAACACCACCCCTAGAATCAGAGGAATCTAAGATACACCAATGTTGAATTCTATTACCTCCCAAAGAACGAAGAATTCTAGCAGAAGGTCTGTAGAGTTTTGATTCTTGAATACAGATAATGTCAATAGAATGACGAAAAATAAACTCTTTAACCAAACTTCTCTTATTTGAGTCATTTAGACCTCTAACATTCCATGAAGAGAATTTCATTATAGACAAATAAGATGAAAAAACCTCCTGTCTTAAAACTTAAGATCTCCTAACAACCTGATGTTGTTCTGACCACTTCTTTACCCTTCAAGATAACTATTGCATCCTCATTCAAATTAATACCACAATTAACTGCAATTTCTTCAATATCATTGTCACACATAGAATTCAAAGGCATTTGAACAGAGGAAGATGAAGAAGTAAGTCTTTTCGTACCTTTTTTAGCAATTTTTGAACCAGATTTAGAAGAGGAGATATGCTTCAAGAAGCCTCTGTGTTTACGACTGATAGTTGGTCTCCTAGAAGAGCGAACAGATGTTGAGGCAGCTTGTTTCTGAGAAAAACCTGGTGGAGCTGATGTGGATAGTTGAATAGCTGGAGTATCATGAGTTGCTAGAGGAAGTGCTGACTCAGATGAATTTGAATTTGATTTGGCTAAATTCCCGCCAAAAATTTTATCCCACGTTTCTTTCTCCATATAGACTGTTTGACCTTTCCATGAATGCTTGACCAAATCAATAGGAAAGTCCTTCAAAGATTCTGAAAATGATTTTGAGCTAGCATCCGATGATTTCGCCTGAGAATCTTCCTGGTTGGATATTTCCAAAACTGGTGATATATGAAAATCCTGCTTTTTTGGTAACAGATTTTCTCCCTGGAAATCCTCCGCATTCAACTCATTATTCAAATTATGCGAAATTACTTCTTTACCCTTTTCTGATATCTGATCAGTGCTGCTAATTTGTACCTGAGCTTTTTCCGATGAACTTTTTACCGGAGACTTAATGACAGCTTCTTCCTGAGGAGTAACCTGATCTAACCACTGAGAATCAATAACAACCTCTCCTTGCATTTCCATAGCAGAAATATTGCCAATCACTTCTGATCCAACTTGACCAAAACCAATAGGCTGAATATCTAAAATTACTTCTCTAGTGAAGGAGTCTATCTGAGATGTATAGGAACAGACAATGGTTTTAGGAATACACTCCGCAGATTTAACCTTAACAAGCACTTGAACATCTTGACCATTGATCTTATCCTTTAAGTTCTTACATCCTCTCACCATTTCTCCAAAGGAGCTAATAATCTTCTCAATAATGTCAAGAGACCAGAAATGAAAAGGTAAATTTTTGAGCTTAATCCATTGGAAAAAAGAGGAGTTCACTATTTTCATTCCTATGTTTTCTGTCCAAGGTGCGAACCAACCCTTAAAAATCTCAAAATCCAGGATTTTTTCATCAATAGCTTCAGACATTTGGAACATAGAAGGGAATTCAACAAGGTAATGATTATCTTTAATAGGTATAACTTTACCCTTCCATGACTGCCAGTTAAAAAGCCAAGAAAGCTTAATTTGGATCATATCCAAGGAAGGATTACCTTCAGAGACAGTGAGGATTGCAAACGCAGCAAGGACCTTTGCGTTGTTGCAGAGGGTATCTGATTCTGATAAGTCGATCTTCTTCTCTAGAGGTCTAAGATGAGATCTGCAGTGCTTGGCAATGTGACCTTCTTCATGGCACTTAAAACAAATGAAAGCTCCTTTGGGGCAAAATCTGACTGAATGACGATCATCCCCACAGTTGAAACAGCGACGAGGTTCCTTTGGATCCTTATAATCCGCCGGAAAAGGGTATCTAAGAAGTTTACTATCCATTCTATTAGATATTTTCTTCCGATTAACCAGAGTCTAAAACCTCGTTAAAAACTATGATATTGATAAAAGACGATTCGTTAAGTCCTCACGCTACTTGAATAATATAAAAATTATACAACTAATTAAATTCCACACAACGCGATCCACACTAAATTAAAAAAAGATTTGAAAAAAAAAATGAAAAACTAGTTTCAAGAGGATGTACAACTTAGCTGCACAATCCAAACCTCAACATTTCTACATTTATCCATAATACTTTGCCAGCAATAAATAAAAAACAAAAACTAACTGAGACGAAATCCTCCATTAACCTAAAATGCATCTCTATACATATCTTAGACATTGTTGTCACTAGCGATGGAATCATTGCCGACTCCTGGTTTGCACGTGTGAAGCAAGGAGTCACACGTGCTCACAGCCTCTGCAACGGTGAGAAATATCATCTCTCGTCCAATCATCTCAAGGACCTTTGATTTGTCCAGCTTCCTCATCACTTCACTCCCGGGATTAGCTAACACAAGCTAATTACATGATTAAAGTTAGAGCATATTGATTAGTTACCCATAAATTGATAATTTCAATCTCGTAAATTACAAAAGACAATTACAGTTACATATACAATTATTTTGTTTTTCACTACTGTAGTCTGGGGTCGAATTTTGGCAAGAGCGAATTTGCAGTCAAATTGAGTACGTGCAACCCTTTTCGTAAAGGGTTTTTAAATATTACTGCCCCATCTCTTTCAAATTTCAAAATTAGTCTCCTAAAGCTCTCATATTAGTTTGAAATTAGTCCCTCAAATCTTTAGGTGTCTTGACAATAGTCTCTCTATTTAGCAACGGACGAAAATTGGAGAAATATTTCAGTCTTCGTTAAACATTTTGGAATGTGATATCAGTTTTATTTCACGAGGGGAAAATTTATTTCACGAGGGCAATTTTAGTAAAGAGTACCCATTTCTGGTTAACTACTGGTTCAGTTGTTGTTAATAATTTGTATGATAATGTAACCACCAAGACAATAATTTCATACCCTTAAAAAGGTGTAGGGGTCTAATTTGAAAACCCTATAAAGATTTGATGGTTAATTAAAAGTTTTTGACATTAAATCCAAAGGTTATAATTCATACCTGAAGCCCTCTTCTCTCAACACTCTTCCTTAAATCCTCGAGCATGTTAATTCCGCTAGCGTCAATGCTGGTCACAGCTTCAAAAATAAATAAATGAATACATTAGGCTCATGTAGCTCGTGTGACTAATTAACATAGTAACAGTGTTCACAGGTGTGAAAGTCTTACTTACCACTCATGTCTAAAATCACATAATTCAGGCTAATTTTCTCCCCCTTTGCTCTCACCATACTTTCCTCCTCTTCATCAATGTATCGCGATATCCTAAAATCCAAATAATAATAGAGTCTCATATAAATATGTGGCAAGTGTAAATGTGCATATATGTATCCTAATTGTATCTAGGGGTTCATTGAGGATATAAATATAACCTTGTAGCATCGTTTGTTTTGAACTTACCATCCCTCTACTTTTATTGTTGCGTATAGACCCCCCTATTGAAATACCCCTTGAAGGAAAAAAGAGGTAGACAAATTTTGTTTAAAATGTCTATATATGTACAAAAGTAAAACTAGAGGAGTAGTAAGTTCAAAACAACGATATTACGAGACATATATCTGCAACTAACACTTGTATCTAAAGTAGCTCGCCTCTCTTTCAAGTAGCTAGCATTAGTGAAAAATATCGGAGCATCAATTTGGAGTATGAACACTTTTGATACACTCTGAGCTATTGGATATTGATCCATCCTTCGATAGACCGCGGAGTTCGGTATGTTCCCTAGAACACTAGTTCTAGGCCTCGCGACGAACAATAAAACCCTAAGTATCGAGATTGCAACCTACAACGATGCAATATATTTGATTAGGAACAAAAAAGAGAAATCGATTGTAAACGAATTGTTTGAATATAGGGTTTTTTTTTGCAGATTCTCCTCTTGCACTGTGAGTTTGTATCTACTTATCACTCATATTCTATTTTATTAGTACATATACTCCCTGGTGGTCTCCATTACATAACAAGGAAAATATGTCGTCACGAACCAGCAGATAGTATATGTGCTAATAATCGAACATAAGTGTTAGATATCTATATAGCTTCATAGTACAGAGGTCTGCAAAATGACTATAAAAGATAATTACCGCGATAACGAGTCCAATTTCGACACTGCCGAACACTACACCAAAGTATGCACCAATGCACACAAAGAAATCAATCTTATCAATATGCCAAAGGTGAATTGCAGCCTCATAATCAATTAATCGAACCATTGCGGAGATAATAATGGAAGCAAGAACAACTAGGGGAGTATAATGAAATAACGGAGTCAAGAACAATAGGGTAATCATCACTGTAATCGCCATCACGATGTTCGACATTGCTGTTTTGCATCCTGCATTGTTGTTCACAGCGGTTCTTGAAAATGAACCTGGGTTGAGATTCTAATTTTAGTTATTGTGAGGGTTTTTTTTTTTTTTTGTAAATAGTCAAGAAAGAGGAGGGGCTCACCGGTGGTGAGATAGCAGGATGTTAATGATCCAGCGACGTTCATCATCCCAAATGCGATCATCTCTTTGTTTCCATCGATTTGGTAGTTCTTGATCATGGCAAAACTCCTTCCTACTGCAATTCCTTCCTATAGTAGCATAGAGTAGGAAAATCATAGTTTTAGGCAGATATATATGGACGATTACAAATAGTATCAAAACACTATGCATGCAAGCCAAAATATGATTTGTGTTCGATCTACGTACTACTAAAATACGTAGGAATTACAACCTTCCACTAACCAACAGAGGATTGTGATTGAGGAACTGAAATTTTCAGTGTATTTTGACAGCAAAGAAGATGCAAAATACATAATTCATGTAGCGATGTATGCACTTACAGCAAGGGCAATTATGCCAGTAACAATGCCAATCCTCATGGCAATCATCATATGAGGAGGAGACAATATCAAACTTGTCAAAGATGGTGGATTCAGCCCTTTCTTTAGGTACCCTATCTGCATTTAAAATAAATAAATAAATAAATAACAATGCAGAAAACATTAGAAACCAATGGGTTATATATGTTACTGGGCCAGACCCATTAGCAATTTAAATTCCTAGTTTGAATAACTGACCACGTAGACTCCATGATTCTCAGCATGACTGAAGTAGACGAGAAGGCTTCCAATGAAAACTGACGTTAGTGGTGCTGCAGCAGAAGCCCAGAAGAATTGGGGCCTTTTCTTGCTCTGACCCATGAAAATGGAATCAAAATTAGCATTACAAGGACGCAAGTTCATTAATCATTCCGCTCCTTTTTTTACTCTCCTTTTTTTATCTAATCTAATCTAAACTAATACTATTATAAAAGTATGTTGCCATGTTAAAACATTTCTTTCAAAAACACCCTCCGTAATACATACATGCATATATCTCTAGCACATCCATACATGCATACATTAAGATATATACATACTTAATTTTTCATAACCTCCCTATTTATTAGCATCAAATTTTCATTTAACCATCCACTAATAACATTCCCCAACTAAGTCTTGGCATTACACACTAATAATGAAAAACGTTACAACTATTCATCTTCCATAAATCACTATAAATTACTATAGAATCTTATCAAGTTTCTCTAACCAAAATTCTAATTTTTAATCAAAATTTATTCATATTGAAAAGTAAGGAGACACAACTACAATACTTACAAACCGTAAGAAGTGTGAGTGTGTCAATGGTAACATCACTGGTGGGGTTCAATCGAATTGAATGAGGAGATAGTAATGGAAGCATCAGTGTAACAATTTAGAGAGCAGAGAAAAAACCCGTTGAAGGCGACAAAGAAGGCGGTCCTGTATTTTATTAAAATATGCATAATGTTTTTGCCTTACATGTAAATTGGTTTCCAACTCCTGGGCATATTTGTAAATATGCTAAATTGTTTGTATAGTTTGGTTGAATCTCTTAATGTATTATGCTTATTCTCGGGATAAAGAAAGCTTTGTCCATGATAATGCATTATAAGTGTAATTGCTTTCACTCTATATGTGTAAAGGTTTAATTTTCATTCTATGGTCACTAAGACAATACATTAGTATTATTGGGTTATAAAGAACAAATAGAAAGTGTAGGATGTGCTAGAGATATATGCATGTATGTATTACATTAAGATATATACATACTTAATTTTTCATAACCTCCCTATTTATTAGCATCAAATTTTCATTTAACCACCCACTAATAACATTCCCTCACTAAGTCTTGGCATTACACACTAATAATAAAAAATGTTACAACTATTCATCTTCCATAAATCACTATAAATTACTATAGAATCTTATCAAGTTTTTCTAACCAAAATTCTAACTTTTAATCAAAATTTATTTATATTGAAAAGTAAGGAGACACAACTACAACACTTACAAACCGCAAGAAGTGTGAGTGTGTCAATGGTAACATCACTGGTGGTGTACAATCGAATTGAATGAGGAGATAGTAATGGAAGCATCAGTGTAACAATTTAGAGAGCAGAGAAAAAAACCGTTCAAGGTGACAAAGAAGGTGGTCCTGTATTTTATCAAAATATGCATAATGTTTTTGCCTTACATGTAAACTAGTTTGCGGTCCGTGCAAAGCACGGTATTTTTTTTTTTTTTTTGCTACAGTAATCCCACTTTTTAATACGGCGTGATTTGAATTTTTGAAAGTACTACAGTATCCCGCTCTGCTACAGTACCTTTTAGATGCTACAGTATACTCTGTGCTACAGTACTGTTTTTAATTAATTATTATCTACAGCAAATGCTACTGTAGTATTTACTGTAGCATGAACAGTGAATCTTTGATCCTCCTATTTGTATAAAGGAATAGATTGGTTTCCAACTCCTAGGCATGTTTGTAAATATGCTAAATTGTTTGTATAGTTTGGTTGAATCTCTTAATGTATTATGCTTATTCTCGGGATAAAGAAAGCTTTGTCCATGATAACGCATTATAAGTGTAATTGCTTTCACTCTATATGTGTAAAGGTTTAATTTTCATTCTATGGTCACTAAGATAATACATTAGTATTATTGGGTTATAAAGAACAAATAGAAAGTGTAGGATGTGCTAGAGATATATGCATGTATGTATTACATTAAGATATATACATACTTAATTTTTCATAACCTCCCTATTTATTAGCATCAAATTTTCATTTAACCACCCACTAATAACATTCCCTCACTAAGTCTTGGCATTACACACTAATAATAAAAAATGTTACAACTATTCATCTTCCATAAATCACTATAAATTACTATAGAATCTTATCAAGTTTTTCTAACCAAAATTCTAACTTTTAATCAAAATTTATTTATATTGAAAAGTAAGGAGACACAACTACAACACTTACAAACCGCAAGAAGTGTGAGTGTGTCAATGGTAACATCACTGGTGGGGTACAATCGAATTGAATGAGGAGATAGTAATGGAAGCATCAGTGTAACAATTTAGAGAGCAGAGAAAAAAACCGTTGAAGGTGACAAAGAAGGTGGTCCTGTATTTTATCAAAATATGCATAATGTTTTTGCCTTACATGTAAACTAGTTTGCGGTCCGTGCAAAGAACGGTATTTTTTTTTTTGCTACAGTAATCCCACTTTTTAATACGGCATGATTTGAATTTTTGAAAGTACTACAGTATCCCGCTCTGCTACAGTACCTTTTAAATGCTACAGTATACTATGTGCTACAGTAATGTTTTTAATTAATTATTATCTACAGTAAATGCTACTGTAGTATTTACTGTAGCATGAACAGTGAATCTCTGATCCTCCTATTTGTATAAAGGAATAGATTGGTTTCCAACTCCTAGGCATGTTTGTAAATATGCTAAATTGTTTGTATAGTTTGGTTGAATCTCTTAATGTATTATGCTTATTCTCGGGATAAAGAAAGCTTTGTCCATGATAATGCATTATAAGTGTAATTGCTTTTACTCTATATGTGTAAAGATTTAATTTTTATTCTATGGTCACTAAGATAATACATTAATATTATTGGGTTATAAAGGACAAATAGAAAGTGTAGGAAGATCAATTTAGAAAATGATATAGTTAGTTGGTCCTGAGGATGCTTATAGAATGGATTACTACTATAATAAGTCATCAACTTTTCATTATTCCACTATCTTCTTAACCCCCCTTCAATAAGGAACTCATTCATGAAGGGTTACCCATTTCTCCATTAACCATCTGTAAATTGCATTATTATAACAAATAGGAAAAATTATACATAATTCCCTCTTCTATATCTTGAGTTACACTAAATCCTCCTCAATATACTAGCACTTAGTACCCTTGAAATGCAATTTTAGAGATATAAATTGCAAGTATCAAATATAAATTAGGGGACTCTAAGAGCTAATAATAAACTAGAAGAGGTTTAATAATTTCTAGAAAGATAATTTCAAAATGACATTCCTCTCTCTCATGTAAATGTACTTTATCTTCTTACTTTACAGGTAGTTTATACTTTATAATAGAAACATGTATAAGCTAATTTTCTATGCAGAGAGTGATTGTTTTTGATAAAAATAACTTATACATGACCTCCTACAAATATACTCATCTAATCTTTATGCATTAAGTCTCATTTCATTGAATAAATATTAATTCTTTATTAATTACTATAATATCTTAATAACTATTCACTTTCTAACCTAATAGAACCAAAAGAATTCCAAAAATTGATCAACAAGTGTGCCTACGTATAACTATTCACTTTCTAACCTAATAGAACCAAAAGAATTCCAAAAATTGATCAACAAGTGTGCCTACGTACAACGCACGTACACGATACTAGTTATTATAAAATTCTATTAATCCTTACTACATCAGCATGTGCACCACCAATAAATAGAGAACTACATTCAAATGAAATGAGAAGATATGATACAAACAAGAATAACATATATTTTTCTAGATTATTAAGTTGTACTCGTATCAAGTGTTACATACTAAATAAAAGTTGACCTTGAAAATTAACCAAATTTCACTAGATAGTAGATCCAAAATCAACCTGCAAATCTAAACCTTTTTAATTATGTTTTTGACACAGATCTCTTCGTAAGTTTCACAGGCATCGCCATATTGAGTTGAGAAAGTGGTCGATAGTGGGAAATATGTAATTCTTATTATTCTAGTAGTACAACACTCAATACACTTTTTACTATAAACTTTCTCTTTACTACAAACTATAATACTACTACACACTTTTACAAACACTATTATGTTTCTTTTTCTCTCTATTTCTCTCCCTCTCTTTATTTATCTTTATGTTCTTTTCTATTAGGATGCAAACAACCAAAGGGTCAGGGGTTATTTATATGCTTTATTTGTGGCTGGTAAAAACTGTTGGTGTAGGTAATTACTTATGGTGGTGACTGAGATAGATGGGGATAGATGAGCTACTGACTTCAACACTCCCTCTCAACAGCTACTTCTCTATCCGCAAGTAATCATCACATATTGTTATATTTTTATATCCTCATTATCTATTTTATTTGAATAAATATCTGCTAATAAAGAGTTTTTATTTTAATTTATAGGTTAATGGAGAATTAATGAATAAGAGCCCAAAAGAATTAATGTCCCTCAATTTTCTACCATTTTTTGAAGAAAAATAAATCAAGCCAAGAAGGAGGCCCACGAAAGCCCAAGATATCAAAAAAAAAAAAAAATCATGTCAACAAGTCAACAAAGAATCAAATTCTGTTTGGAATCAATTGATTAGCGAACCGATTGGTCAATCGATTGGTTCGTAACAGAATCATTAATGATTGAGATTTATTTCTTAGAGCTCAAGGCTAATCTAGTGGCTCTTTTAGATTGCAATAGACTAAAATAGGGGTAGAGGGTAAGGAATTTGAGTGTTAAAATTTTATTGAGAAAATCTTTTAAAATTATGAATTTTTATTTGCAATAAATAAAACTTTTATTTCCTCTTATTTTTTTCTTTTTTCTCTTTTGATGATGATGAAGTGAAGATGAAGATTTTCTTCACAAGGGGCCAACCCCTTAAAATATAAGTTTTTATTTTCTCTTCTTTTCTTGTTTTAGAATTGCATGATTTAGGATTTTATTTTTTTATTGTGTTTGGTCTATTAGATTAATTTTATGCTTGAAGTGTAGAATTATTTTATACTCTGTAGGGTAGATTTATATATTCTTGCTTTTTTATAGCTTTTATTGTCCTTT